TGTTTGCTTGCTGATTATATATTTTTAGTGTCTTCGACTTAATGAATTGAATTTGTTTACGGCATTATTATTTGTCACTGATTGAGCAGGGTATGTGTCACAAGTTATTGGAAATTTATCTTATAATAAAATGTACATCTTATTTAATATATAAAATATATTATATAAAACAGATGCAAACCCATTATAAATTTTGGTGTTCAATCTTGATAGTGATTTAATAACATTTCTTAAATGTGTTGCTCTATCTGCTGCCTATATCTACAAAATTAAATACCATTCTTCTCGAATAAACTACCACTTAACCTGAATTGGCCAGCTATCGATGTAAAGGTATTTGCCAACACGAGTGCACTACCACTTTTAATTCGGAGGCAACTCCACCCCCCAAATGGCTTTATGCTAATTATATAGATGCCTTCGATAAGATAAACTGACAACAGTTTAAACTTTACCTGTCCCTGTGGCAAATTAATTCATTTTCTTGCAAGATTGCTGCTTGAGAGTTTCCCTTGCTCTGAGAACTTATCTCTTGCTGACCATCGCCATATTTAAATTAATTGCTTTGCATAAATTTTTAATGCGGTCAAATTAATTAGCTGCTGGGACCTCAATCAGCAGACATTTGTTCTTATTATAGTCGGCTAATGCGGTTTCAGTTGTTGCCATGTGTCAACGGTTTTATTTATGCACGAATGCAAGAGTTGTGGCTTATAAATGTAGCTGTCAGTTGTCATAATTTATAGAATAACTGTCAGAGCTGTAACACCTCTGCGCACGATTTTTCTTTCTGGTCTCGGAGGCCTCTAAAAACCTATCGCTCGCAATGCTGCCATAATCATAGCGTCAACGTTTTTGATTTATGTGCACAGTTCTCCATTTTGGGTTTTGTCTTTATTTTTTATTTTTCATTCTTTTTTTTTCTATTTTGTATTTTTTGTTTTCATCTTTTCGGCTCATGGGAGTACGATGGAGTCGAACAGCAGGCTGGCCTGGCCCGCTGGAAATAACAGTTAGTAATGTGGGTTGGTAGGTAGGTCGCCAGATTGGTAGGCTTGGAAGTTTCGCGACAGTTGATTATGATTAAGTGCTCAGCCCCAAGCCATACACTTTAAATACTCTTTTGCAATGCACTTAGAAAAAACGACTATTAAAATCGTTAATTCTAAGTCTTTTGATTACTAAATTCATTGAGCTTTTATAAAGTTTAGGGAAAAGAATTAAAGTTTCTGTTTTTTTACTTTTAATAAAATCAATTTTTTAGCTCAACATGAACAATTTATAAATGTTAAAAAGGCGATTGGTTAGTATAGCATTACTTTCTTCTTTATTAAGGCCAGTACAAAAGAAATTATGTAAGTTACCTGTGATTCTCCCTGTGTAAAAATACAACCAATTTAAAGAAATTAGCTGTCGTAATTTTAAATCTTAAATAAATTTAGCTTTATTCAAGTTTTTTTTATATAAATAAATTGCTTTAAACGGCCAAGTAGTTTAAAGTTAATTGATTGATTAATTGTTGTTTCTTTAAGACTTTTCTCAAGTTGAGAGAAACGGAAGTTGATTGCAAAATGTTGTTCATCAATTATCTCCAAGATATTTTTGAACATTTGTTTAGCTACATTAGTACATTAATTGGTTATCTGTTGGGAGCAAAATAAAAAATCACAAAACAAAGTTAAATGCATGCATAAATCAATCAATTTCTACATCTGACAGACAGTCTCGAGTGCCGCGGCAGTCGAGGGTATAAATGACAGACGGTTACGTTGTGTGGACTTTGTTTGCAAAGTAGGTAAGGAAGTAATGAATATACATAGTAACACAAGTGATACCCTTTACCAGACCAATTTTATTTTCAAAATCGTTAAAGGTATGGACACAACAAAAATGGTGTTCGGATACACTCTCTTGATGTCATTATACTTTACTTATTTGAAAAAAAATTATTACGTATACGCCTACAACTCCATATTCTACCCCAGTTAAGTGCAGTCATTTCAAAGTTCTAAGCAATTTTAAAAGCAATACAAAAAATAAATGTAACATCATGTTTATATATCGAAGAGTATTTTTAATTTTAACATAATTTTCTTTACCTTTGTTTCAATCTACTTATATTTTACCCTCTTTCCTTAGCTGTCTTTATATCGGCTTCTCTGCCTCTCAACGGCAGCGTTTAACTGTCAAACTGATTTATGCACGAGTTTGACATATATTAATGGGCGGCGGTGTAAAATAAATGCGCATTAAATTATTAAAATATGAAGCTTATTTTATTTGAATGTTTTTTTTTTTTGTTAATTTTAAATATGCAAATACTTAAACACAATGGCTAATTTGGAGAGCCTTTTCATAGTTGTTAATGAGGAATTGTTTAATTGAATTTAATCGCGTTTATAAATTGGTTTTAAAATGTCTTTTATCTTTATTAATATGTTTGTGTTCACGCTGTAGTTGAACGTTGCCTTTAATTGCCTTTCTTTTCTTAAAAACGTATTGTGCTTTTTCGTGACGTAATTGAGCATTATGTAAACTATAAATATCAGCATACACCTTTTTGTGCGTATAACAAACATTTGTGAGGCAAACGATGCAAAAAATTCCAACGTACAAATATTCTTTTGCAAATGAACATAAATCTGTCAGCACGCAATGCCATAAAAAATTGTGTCACAATTAATTATCTTTTTTTTATTATTGTTTTGGTTTGGTCGTGGCCTTTGTGTATATCGTAATTACATTACTGCCATCGATTAATGAAAATTGTTTAATAATTTTATGTTATTTTATATACCCCGTTTTTTATTGGCAGTTGATTTGGTTTGCAACTGATTGCATTCATAAATAAAATGAATTTGAAGGCTCAGCCATATATTTGGTTAATTTGAAAATGTAAATTAATACGATTAATATGGCAAAAGCTTGTTCGGGGTACATTTGAGTTGTAAATTGGGAGCAAATCCTGTTTTAATTACAGCGATTAAATTTACAAATTTAAATAATTAATTGAAAGCAGAACATTTTCATGATAAATGCTTTACGTGTATTCTAAACTGATTGGTTCCTTAAATTAAAAATAAAGCTAAGTAAAGACTGAATGGAAATACTTGATTTTTAATGGAAACTTAAAATATGTTATGACCCACAACCTTAATGGATATGCACCTCAATTTATCTGTCCATTGAGTAATCCACAAAAAAGAGGCAAGAGAATTTCTAAACCATTTCTTATTTCAAGACGACAGATCTGAAACGAGCCAAGACGATGCCATAGCCATTAGCCGCCCACAAATGTAGTGCGGATGAACACGCACGATTAATAAATTAAATTGAAAGACACACAAAGTGTGAGAAGGCGAGAAATACAAATTTTCCAAATGAAATTGTTAAACACTGACGACTAGCTGCATTATTCTAAGCATGTGCCTTGAAATATGTCGCGACATGCTAATAAAAATATTTGTTTTCCCTGCTCTCCCAGCTAGATTTATATATTTTCTCCTGTGCGCAGCGATGGTACGCTTGAGTTGGTTTTATTTTTGTTTATTAGCCGCCTGCTAATAAAAATTAATTTGAAAATACTTTTTAAAATGCCTTCGACTTGGATGGCTGGCTGGCTGGCGGGCATAGCTTAAGATTTTTATTTATTTGTTTTTCTAATTTGTATTTTCGTTTCACATTCATTTTTCTACGTTCTGAGTACGTTGTAGTTTGTGCGATTTATTTATGAGCTTTACGGTGGTATTGTGTGTTATTGTTTCTTAGTCTATAAGACTATATTTTTTCAGTATCCTAACGATCTGTTTGCTTGATGAAACACAATGTGTTTATTGTACTTGATTTATGGTTCCTTGTGTGAAATTATTTTCCAAATGTCTGTGTGATGTTTAAAGCCTATGTCAAATCTTTAAAATAATCCCTTGGTCTATACTATATAGCTTTAATCTATTTAGCTTAAAATAATCTCCCTTTCCACGGTATTATTTAAGTCTTAAGAAATATATTGTTAAAAAATTTCTAGGGATGTTGCGAAAATCAAGGTAATTTATTATTTAAGACTGCATTTGATTTATGTTAGCATAATATTCTTATATGTACTAATGGTCGTATTTCCTTGGCGACTTTCAATAGGAATTTATTTTCGTCACCAGAGTCGTAAACAATTTAAGCGAATTGGTTTGAGGGTCATTAACTAAAATCCATAGACTTATTTAAAACACAAACAGCTGTGCCAACAATTTGTCAACCAAAAACACATATAAGTTTGCTTTACAAATTAAATAACATATGAAATCTTCTTACAATTATCATAAAATATCCGAAAATGAAGAAGAGTAAAAAAACGGTGACAAAAATGTGAATTTAGAGGCTTAACCTATACGCATACTGCAGATTCTCGAGTGTCTTTCTTGAAGGCAAATATTTGTCTGCGATAAATTTCCATCGTCTCCCCTTCATTTTTTTTGACAGCCACACGACCTAACGAAAAGATCAAAGCGAAATAGCGAACACATTTTTTATTGTCGTGCCTTATTAATAATGCTGAAAATGCTGAAGTTTTTAATATTCTTTTATGATTTGTGGCCAGTGACAAAATCCATTAGATCTGACATTTGGTGCGAACAGATTAAATTTAAATATATACGTTTCGACCTCTCGACATTTATGAAATATGGCGGAAAGGGTAAAACGAAAAGCGAAGGAATTTCTATGAAAACAGGTTAAATACTTTATGTTATTGTTTTCGATCTCGGATATTTAATTAATTTGAGTGTTTTGCTAGAGTGTTGCAATCAATTAATTGGATCAAATCAATTACCCTAACCGTGTGCTAATCAAATGCATTTTAAATTTGTAATCGATTTGTTGCTGGAGCTTTAAGTAAATGCATTTATATGTAACCTTACTACCGGAATTTGTCATTGAAAGTGCGAAATATCTTTATGTTAGACAACTTTATGTTGCTGTTTAGTTGACTTAAGTAAAACAGTAGGCTATAATTTGCATTGAAATCGATTTATTTCCAAATGTGCACGTTTTACATACACAACTTTATGGGCACTTCAAAATCGTATTTTATGATCTTTTAGCCCAACAACTATTTCTCAGATTCATCATCCGGTAAATCCACTGAACATTGCTGTTGGTTTTTATGCTTACGCCGGTCGCGGCAACTGCCGCAGATTCTCATGCAGAAGAAATAGATTAGCTCCAGGAAGCTGAGACACGAGATTCCCATAAACAAGCCGCAGATGCCACCGCAGTTGGAAATCAAAGTGGAGACTCCGAAAAGAATTGTGCGTTTGATGGCCGTAAACTGATGCTCCTTGAAGTAAACGGAGAGTCGAGATCCAATGGCACTAAACGATTGTAACGTTATACATGTTAAATGGCCTGAATACTTTGAATTTAAATGGTTTACATATGATAATTTAGTAGATTTTTAATATCGTGTGATTATAAAGTATTTGTTTTTATATTCAACCAGAATATTAGTTACTCACTCTGTATGCTCGTATACTTCGCGAAAGGCTCGAATGGTTTTGGCGATGTCGTATTTGGCCCGGGATATCTCGAAATTATACTCAAGTGAAGTACAAGCAGGCATGCAGTTGCAGGTAATATCGGCACTGTCATCAATACTTTTGGCCATTGTTTGATTTTGCAGCAAGGCATAGAGCTCATCCTGGGCAGTTGTGTAGCAGGTGATGTCATTCAGCCCACAGACGGGAGTTCCCACGGGTTCTAGGGCAAAATTCAATTGATATAATGGCCTTAAAGGCCAATTTTAAGATCACTCACTGGGCATCCAGAACTTGGCGCAACCGCACTTGGCAACCGTGTAGTTGGCCAGGCATTCGGTTTGGCAATTGCTCTGCGAATATGACCGGAAGAAGCGCAGCGAGCGCTCATCATCGAACAGACACTGACGTCTATAAAAAAATATTTCGATTGAAAATTTGCCATTTTGTTGTAACACCTCACAACTCACTTATCTGAAGTAATTTCGTGCAAATTGTCGGTGGACACGACATAAGCGGGCAGCACACTGACCAGGACCTCATCGCCATGGGGCACCAGGATATAATTGCCCGACGTCAGCGGCACACTCTCCGGGGAGTTGAGAAAGACCTGTCAAATTACCCATTAGCTGTGCACAGATCCACACCCATTTTTGTGTTAACACACCTTATAGCCCTGTTTGAAACTGCGACAATCGTAGTCAAAGTTGTGCTGCAAACCCTGCAGAAAGGCGAAAAAGCCGTTCTTCACCGATGAGAACACTGTCCTCTGGGGATACGCATTCTGGCCTTGGTCCACGAATCCCGTGTCCAGTGACCAATTCCCGGTTATGTTGTTCCACGGCGGCAACTCCACGTCGAAGTAGTTGTTGAAGTTCACCACATCCGGGTCGATATAGCTGATGAACTTCTCGTCGCGATAAATGTCCTTCGGTCGCAGGCCGTTAAATTGATAGCATATGCCCTCGTCCGTGGCCACAAAGTCGAATATCTTATCGCAGAAGTAGAACCGTCCATTCCACTTGCAAAATGGCCCCGTTTCGTTCTTCGATATACTCAAATCAATCAGTGTCTGGGTTACGTCCACGTACGGAGGATTTAACTGCGATAGCAATGGCGTGAATCGCTCCACCACATCCGGATCACAAAGATGCATTGCAGCTGCCATTCGGGCCAAGCTGGGGAGTTTAAAAAAAGGATACATATTTAGCTAATAAATAAATTCCAAAATTATAACAACCAAATTGGGTGCGAACATTTACTTAACACAAAAAATTGACTATTCTGAAAGTTATCATTAACAAAATTAGAAAATTCGTAGTCGTTTAAAGGGGAAATTTACAGGGAATATATAAGTTAAAAGGGTATGGGGTTGCTTCTATATTACAAGTTACAAATTACAAAGTCAAATAAAAAGTTCTTGACACTATCTTATATCTTAAATTAGCTCCTGTTTAATTTTAGCCCCAAATACTCAACTCTTCATCCTCCAAATCGCTGACGTTGCCATTCTGCTTGTACTCATTCCAAAGCAGTCGCGATACGTTCGTGTAGTCAAAGACATTCCTTTCCATTTTGATCTCCGGACAAATGGTAATGGTGGGAAAGGGTATCTTATGCACTGGCACCAGGGTCTCATCGAAGCCTAGAATGACCGGTGAGTCCTGCCATTTCAGATAGGTATCCCAGATTAGGGAGATGGCAAAGTAAACGGAAATGCAAGTGAAGAATAGCCAATAAAGTCTGAAAGACACAAAAGTTATTTCAAAGTAATTGCTCGTATTAAGAACACACTTTTCATAGATGGGTCTGTGGACCTCGAAGATATATCGTATGCCGTGAATGGTCGTACTCTTGGCGTACTCCAGAAGTAAGCCCTTGCAGGCGGATAGTGTACTGCCATATCGAATGCGAGACTTGATGATCACATCGCTGGGCACATCACTCAAAGCAGCCGAGGCGATGCTGGCCCGGGTATCGAATCCGGGAAGGGTTAAAAGCTCCGGACCGGGCAGAATGCTGATGCCCGGCTTCTTCTCCTCGTCCTCCCTGGTTTCAGCCATTGTCCACGAAACAGGACGCTTAAAAGGCGACTAAGCTGCGCCAGCCATGCGGAGTGTCCTTTTATAGCTGACCCCCACGAAAACACCTGAAAAGTGGGTGCGTTCTCCGGTTCCAGTGGGTCCTTGCTCGGGGACTTCAATTCGCACGCACCAGCGACGCATTCATCTACTTAAGCTTAATTACAGACCCTCATGGCTTGCCATTTTTGTTGATGCTACCTGTGTTTATTGTATATACTTGCTTTTAATGCTTAATTTGCATAGTGCAATCATGCGGTGTCGTAAACAGTAAGTTTAAACTTTCCTTGAATTGAACATGATAGAAGGTATAATGTGCATTTTTATCAAAGACAATATTATTCTATATTAAATTCTTTTACTTTGTAGATCGTTCTTAAATCCAAAAATTAATTTATATATATTTTAAATAATAAAATTCTTAAAATTTTTTATATCGACTTCAAATTTTGTAGATAATAATTGATTAACCAGATCCTAAACATATTTAGCAGATAATTATGGCATTTCCCTACATGAAATTGTAACTTTAACTAAGTTATTATTAAAAAGGCAATGTTTTAATGCATAGCTTGGATATATTTTTACAACTTTATACATTCTTCTTCATCCCCCGAGAATATGAAGGAATGCCAGCATTTGTATAGCTGGACCACTTATCAAATCATCTCGGCCGCGAGTCACCGATTTTGGAAGTATCCATCGAGTACTTACTTTGATTTTATGCTAAAAAGATTGTCACCATGGTCGGGATGCCGGCGAACATTACTCTTTTTTCCGAATGCTCGACATCGTTTAAACATGTTCCAGGAATTTAGTGGGATACTCTCCTTTTATGCAGGACTGGTATGGTTTGTTTTGGGTATGGCATGGTATGACATGGAGTATGGAGTTTGGTATCGTCTGGCGGCATTCGTGCGTGGTTTGATTTTGTCTGCGTAGCGATGCACCCTCCTTCGTTCGGGCAACTTTTGGATCTGGCTCAGTTGTTGGCACTTATTTGGGGACATTGTCATCGATATAAAACGGGCTTTTTGCAATGTCCACTGGTCAAGAGGCATCCGTTGCGCATTTTTCGAATATTCAACCAGCTCTGTGTGGCTTTGCGACTCTGCAGTTTAGCCTCTTTTTTTGGCCCACTATCAGAGTGTGTGCATCAGCATTTGGTTTCGCGTGAAATTCACTCACGACTTGTAATTATTTAATTTTATTGTTTGTTTTGTGACCAGCCGACAGGGAACAACGCCTTGTTCGCCGGGAAGAGAGTGCCTACTGTTTAACAAGATCTCAGTATCAGATCAATTGGCTAAAGGCCATTTAAAGCAACACTAAATTATTATGTAGATAAGTATTGCAATGCCCAGGCAACAACGCCTACAGTGGGCGTCATTTGTAAGTAACAGAGCTTTTTTGTTTGCACGCAAATTGTTTTCGCATTGGGGCGTCAGATTCTGTTTTTGTGCGCCTCGAATATGGTTATTAGTCATTAGGCTTATAGAGATAATTATTACTGGTAAGTAGTGGGCTTAACATGCCCTTAACTGAATTGATAAATGGACTTAATGAGCGGTACTTATGGAATCACGAATCTTAACTGAACACAAATTACTTGGCAATTTTTTGAGCTTACGTAAATACAAAACTGGGACAGGTGGCTTTTTTCTGTGACGTTTGGTTATTTTAGAAAATAAAATGAGTTTAACTTAACTTTGGACGGAGGTACATATATCAAAAGCTTAACTTCAAAATTGTTTTAAAAACCTACAACTTCACAAAGAGCCCTTTTGAGAGGTCTCCAGTAATTCATTATACATTATTCATATTTTAATGTGTTCCCACAATTGCCGTACTCACAAAATCTCATAGCTGGCAAAAAAAACGACACACAAACTGAATGGCCTGTCTGCATTTTTAAATATTTTTTGCTTTTGCCTTGAGTGTGTGCATTTGATGGAACTGTAATTAAATTGGCGAGTGCTTCGAAACGTCACGACAGTCTACATATTTTAGCAATTCTATTTGAATAATTGACGTTTCGTTTGTGGGTGGGCTGAATACTGTCGGAATTACCCTTTGAAGGTCCAATATAAAGCTGTTGAAGAGATGGTAAATTTGCCAACTAGTTTTCCCCAGCAGAGATGTTCATTAATTATTTAAAATGGGCAGATGAAATAAAATAATAAAAGAAAATAGAATAAATATTGGAAAACAGAGCTCTGACAAACTCAGTTGCAATTTTGTATTTAATTTGGCAATAGAATTTAGTTTGTGAGATTGGTTTGTTTCTCCCAGCTATTTTCATCGGGGAAATGGAAACATTTTTATTATAATATTCGACAATATCCGTTCTAAGTCTTGTTTTGTTTTTAAAGTAAATAGCTAATGTTATAACGGTGTTTTAATCAAAAGTGTTTTTAAAATAAAATTGTATTATCTAAAATACAAAAAAAATTGAAATTATTTTAGGTAATATTTTTGAGAGATTTTTAAGAGATTTTCCATATCTTACAATTCAAATATATTTAAAGGAAAAAGAGAACTTCAACGCTTAAGAATTTATATTTTTAATCAGTCAAAAAATTGACATTTTATTGGTACTTATTTCCCCAAGTGGTCTTGTAAATCATAATCTATAATTTGCAAGCCATACACATGTTAATGCTTTGACTTTTTCAATTCCAGTTTTGTCAGTTGAATGGCGAAAGCTAGGAATTATATATGGCATCATAGCACACGTTATGATCTCATCAATTCAGGCTGCCAGCCATCGAGGGCATAACTACGTACATTCATAACCTGCGAGGCTCCCAGTTCCGCCCGATGGCCCCCTCAGCCACCCAAATGGACGACATTTATTCCCTTGTGGCGTACATTCAGTCGTCCTTCCTTTGCCGGCTCACCTTCCCATCCCAACTCGGCCGATTCGCATTTGTTTATAAATTATGAGACAGAGACAAAGCTGACTGCAGCTGCTGATGAGTTGAGTTGGCTTCGGCTGCCAGGAAAGGCTGCTCCTGCTTCAACCTCCTGCACCTTCGGTCGTCCGCTTTGTGTAATAAATCAAAAGCAGTTTCGCCAGCAAATCCTCTGTCTTGGCCTGGAGTCTGTCTGCTTGATGTCTACCTGTCTTGTGTATGCAGTTGCACATTTCCACAGTTGCACAGTACCAGAGTTCCAGTTGCAGTGTGTGCAAATTTATGCATGGCTTCACATTTCTTCGAGTTATCATTTGTTACCTAAATTATGCATGTTGAGTTGGAGTTTTTGTTGTGGAATTACTCCAGACGATTAGCCGACCCAAGGCTAAATGGTCAGTGGATGGCTGTTGTTTGGTATCCATGTGTCAGTTGCCGAAATTACAAGTTTTCACCCATTCCGCATTCTACTGTTGCCAAATGCATGCAAATTATGCTGATATACAAACGCAAATCCTAATCAAATGTATTATAACTTGGGCTCGATTAAACAAAATTTCAATTATGAAAATTGGCCAAACAAGACATTTATTTCTATTGTCCCTTCGGGAATGGTTTGTACGATAAATTTCTCCAGCAACAAAAATCATGGAAAATAATTAAATGTATAATTTAGTGAACGATTCTATCCCCAAGCCGCAGCCACAACAAATTGTTTACAAATGGTCCACATTTAGTGTAAATTGTTGCTCACATTAGTTGCCACAGATTTTCGTTCATGATTATCCTAATTAAAAGCGTAATTTTCCAACGCATCTGCTCATTTTCCCATGTATATATTTATATAGATATATGAACATTTTCATGCAAACATATTTGGCTTTAGCACATTTGATTATTTTTAGATGTTTTGTTTTACCTCGATAAGTTTTACTTTAATGTTGACGAGTCGTTAAACATTGTTGTGTTATTGAAGTTTACATATTTACTTTAAATAAAAGTTATGTAAATAAACAACTTCAACATAATATAAGAGGAATATTAAATGTTTAAATAAAATTTGTTTTCATTTTGTTTTAGATTATTACCATAATAAAAATATTAATGAAAGCAAAAAGATAGTTATTATATTGTTTTTGAATCTCTTGTGGGAAAAATAAAATTATCCTTAATGTTATAAGTTGGAAAATGTAATATATCCATAATTCAAACCCAACCATACATTTTTGGATGTAATTAAAAGCTTTCAAATGTATTTCATTTTTAAAAGAGCCCTCAAATAAAATAAAATATTTACAAATATTTTTCATGGCACAATATGCTTTACTAAACATCACACATTTGCTGAAATTATAACATTAATTATTACAAAAGGCTATAAAAATGTAAGCTTTACGACAAACTAGGTGATTTTAAACAATGTTATGCTTTCTAGCAGGTAACGACAGTAGCCCATATTCAGAGCAACTGAGAGTAATTTATAAAGCGACCAACCCTAAGTCATTGGCATGACTTTTATGACCGGCGCACAGGTCGGAATATGGGAATTAACATTCAACTAGATGTGCTTGGCTAGATGCGATGTCAGAGCGTATAAACAAGTGCATAAGTATATGGCTTAAAATGACTGTGTCAACGATATTTATCATGGGCTTACATTGTCATTAATAATGCCGCCAACTTGGGCGAGAGAATTGTGATTCGGTGGAGGAGTGCGGTGCACAATTTGCAATTTCTATGCAAATTTATAACAAATAATTACTGACAGCCATATTTCATTAGTAATTGCAGGTACAACACACTCACTATCTCTCTTTCTCTGTCCAACGTATAGTTGTAGTGGGTATTTTAAAGATAAATTTGCAAAGGCCAAGTCGAGTGAACTCGGCTCGTAACAGGCCACTTCGCACAGTGAGGCAATTAAGCTGATGACGTTGATAAAAATCAACAGCAGTCAGGCTGCCATATAGCCCATAATTTATAGCCCACAGCAGCAGCAGCAGCAGCCGCGGTCGAGTATCGGACAGTAAGGAAATTATCTACATATGAATATGTGGCGACACATTATTAAAAGGTTGAGAGTCTGTCG